TATGAGTATACGTTGCCCAGGGTGCACCACGTGGAGTTAAATCTATCGCACACCCCACACTCATTAAATAGATGTCAATTAATTTTCCTACCATAAAATAAGATAACCATTGTCAAAGAATTTTTATTTACTCATTATTCACAGCTCATTTACTATCATCAAACCTTTATGGGGTATGAGCAACTTTGTTCCTTGGCATTGGTAATCAATAATAAAATTGCAACTAAAAACAATTGAATTTGATGATGTTTTGATAAAATTAAGAATTTAAACGGACAAATAGCGTCATTATTTCTGTCTCTAACTATCTAAGAACTAATTTCTAACTATTAAGTTTCGAAAAGAAAAAAAAATTCTTCCTATTATTGGTCTACTGTTGTCCGAAGTAGTTTTAAATACGAAACAAATATGGCAAATACGTAAATCTTTACCGGAAAAGATGCGCTAGTTAATATTTTAACAAAATATGTAAAATAAGAGCAGTTTTAATGCACGCTCAAGCGGTGAAGCGGCAAACTGCCAGTAAATGAAATGAAGACGGCATTGGCTTTGAGCGGTTAATAGAGGAAGTTAGAAGTTCTACTTTCTTAACCCTGGATGAAAGTGAGAAGGTGTAGCCATATTGGCTGCGCAATACAGGCAGTGATCTCAATTTACGCATATTGATTTCGAACGATAACGAAGCGAGTTGGTTTCTTAAACTGAGTATTCGAACACACAAGGGGTATGCGGTAGACTTACCTCCACGTGGTGCACCCTGGACAACATCTATTAACCGGCAGTTGACTTCTTACTTTGAACTAACATGACCCGACTGTATGTTACATCCGACCACTTCCACAGTGCTCACCTTACCTTTTCTCTGCCTTTGTATTTATCTGTCTCTTTTACATCTGTTAATTACTCTTCTGTTCCCTCTCTCTCGAATTTTTCTCACTTTGATGTCCCTCCTCCTCCTCGTGAAGTCCGAAGTCAACTGAAACGCCTGCCATTTGAAATGAATGAATAAATATTCACACACAATATTCACCTTGACCTGCTATCATAGTGCAGATGCATAGCAAATATAAAATCATATTAAGTTGGTAACTACTTCCCTATTCTAGGTCAACAGTGTTTTAGCTATATCTTGGTAGAAGTAATTCATAAGGGTAAGTGCGCATTAACCGGTCGAATAATATTACTTCCGTTCAAAAGTCGATAATGCGGGTTTATTCGAGGTGATTTAGATGTGGCCCAAATCCCCGTAATGACCAAATACTTAAATTGAGATGTAGTTTACTAACTATATCAAGCTTTTAAATTTGCCATTTCAGTATTAATGTAGTTGTTCATATTTTTGTGATTTCGTTTTGGGTGGAGAAAGATTGAGCATTTTGTTTATTGTATGATTAATCACCTTTTTAAAAGTAAAAAAATCTTTCCATTTTAGTAGCATTATTAAAATGTTTTTGACAAATTTTGATAACATGGAGCAATTAACATTGAATGACACAAATTTTTCAAAAAAATTGTGTTTTTAACTCGCATTATCTAGTACCCAGTTTCACTATTTTAATTTCACGATTCATTCAATTATTGCAAAAAATAATGCGTATTTACAGTGCTCCTTGATTATTGGTTGATATTAGTCAATCATGAATGTACGACCTAAAGGTTAATTTTGAGAGGATACAAATTTCCTCAGTTTCTCCTTTAAAAATAGGAAAAATGAAATTAGTTGTGTGGTGAATATTCGATATATGTGATCGCATAATGGAATTCGGATCAAAAATACTATTCAAACACCCAGTAAGATTCAATTCATTTAATGTTAAATTTTCTTATTAACTTTAACACGAAACATATCTGCCATTAATGAACTTTCAAAATTTTGCTTAAATGACTGTGCGCAATATGATTCACAACCAATTTTCCCAGCAATTATCAGTATTTTCTAATTTGTTGAAATTTATTCAGAGTTAGTCAGCTCGATTTTAAAATTTTGTAATGTTCTTCTTACCTTTTACACCAATTTCACTTGATTTAACTAATTTCAAAATAAAATTTTGCGTTTTTCTTTAATTTTGTTTTCTTCAATAATATCTTGATTGATACAGTTTTGAAAATTGCACGTAGTTTCAACAAAGTACCAATCTTACACTGGTGGACTGAAATATAAAGATGTGGAATTCACTAGTATTTCGAACTCTAGGGGAACAGAACGCATGAACAGAAAAAAGTTTATTGAGATAATTCTGCGATGTTTCTCACATGCTCAGTCCAGTTGTCAAATATTGTTCTGAGTACTTTGACTCTCTAATGACTATTTATTATTGATTGGTTAATGAGACTCTGATCTCATACTCCCCCTAATATAGTCAACACCAAGATCCCACGCTCCAACATGATCGAGCGCACATGCGAATGCTCTCGTAAGCCCTATTAGAATTTTACGGGCTACAATGCTCGTTACGTATATTCATAGGGTGCGCGATAGACTTACCTCCACGGGGTGCACCCTGGGCAACGATACTCATACGGCAAAAATATCTATCAATCGGTAGTTGACTTCTGACTTCAAACTACCATTACCTCACTGTATGTTATATTCGACTACTTCCATAGTGCTCATCCCACCTTTTTCCTTTTTGAAACGCTCTTCTATTCCCACCCCCTTCTCGACTTTTTTCACTTTGATGTTCAATCCCCTCTGTGAGGCCTGAAGTCAGCTTAAGGGCTTATGATAACTTTCAAAACGCCTGCCATTTGATATAAATAAAATAAACGTATATTTATTTTAATTAAGAATGGATGTTGAGATAACCATTTATTTAATTTCTACACTTCAATTTGGTTGGAATTTTTCTATTGCCAATATACTACCATGTCTATTTTCGCCTAATACCTATGTCCAGGAATGAATCAATAAGACAGTTAAAAATTTCAAATACTGCTTTACAAAAATGATGACTTTGTGTTTTCTTCTAACTTTCAGAGAAAACAAAGGACGGCATATCCTATTGCATCAGGTTGGGGGATTGAATAGAGTAAAAACCTTGAAAATCATTAAAATGCTGGCCATTGTTGTGATCAATTTCTGCATCTGTTGGCTTCCCCTATTCACCATTTTCAATATATTAAAACTCGACCCGCATTATCCAACCTTCTCAATGAACATCAACACAACATCAGAACTTGAGGCCACCACTGAAGATGAGAGGTTGGGAACGATAATTCTGCTTATTCCTTTCGCCCAATTGTTGGGATCCGCCAATAGTTGTGTCAATCCGTGGATTTACTGTTTCTACTCCAAACGGTATCGTAGGGGCTTCAAGCGAGTATTCTTGTGTCGATCACTTGGACCCACCAGTATGGGATATCACCCAAGACTCCATTCTGCCTCGGCAAATTGTTATCGCGATCATAATCTCGCCCCCCGTGGTGGGGTCGATCAATTTGCCTATACTTGAAAACTTTCATTTATTCCCCCTTCCTCTTAATTTGTGTTTTTGCGAATTTTAAAGGTTACCATTCCATGTGTAAATACTTTGAACAGAGAATATATATATATATGTACGCAATAATGCTCACAGTATGTTTAATTGTCAAAATAATGACTAAGCTAGTTAGGCGTTAATTGTTTAACTTATTCGGCATCGATTAGTGTTAATCAAATTGGAGTTACCTATTCAAAAAGATATAGATTTTATTTTCAACCAACACTTTTATGAAAACTATAGAACTTATTTGAATTCATTGATTATTATCTGGAAATTATTTGACCTATCTTTCAATAAATGCAACTATAGTTCTGAAGATGAGAATGGGAAAATCGTTTGAGTTTTTTAGCATGGCCAATTAGGTCCGCATTTTTTAGACCCACAATCAGTTAATATTTATATTTTAAATGTGGGTGTGCGATAGACTTACCTCCACGTGTTGCACTCTGGGTAACGTATACTCATACGGCAAAAAAGTCTATTAACCGGCAGTTGACTTCTGACTTCAAACTACCAAGACACCACCGCATTTCATATTCTACTAATTCCACAGTACTCACCTTTTTCCTACCTTTGTGTCTGTCTGTCTCTTTTACGTCTGTAAATCATTATTCTTTCCCCCATCTCGACGTTTTGCCACTTTGGTGTTCCTCTTCCTTTCTGTGAAGCACGAATTCAACTAAAGTTCTAATGATACCTATCATAACGCCTGCCATTTGACATAAATAAATATTTTAAATGTGTTTAGAATACAAGGTTTTAAAAC